GGGCTAGATGGGTTGAGTGTACTAAGAGGATAGTTTGCTACTCTCAGTACATTGGAGTGGTTCTCAGGAAATCACACCAATGTTGAAATGTGAGTTTTGCAGATCTTGTTCTATAAGCCACATGATGTAAAAAAAAATTTTTTTAAAATTAAAATTAAATGTGGCTGGCTTTCTTAGATTCTAACCTGTAGACTGTTATTAATACTAGAGATTTAACAGCCTATAAAATATGAATTTGAAAACCTTTGATATAAAACATATAACCAAAGATAGAGAAAATTGATACAGAAAAAAATGGAATTTGAAATGGAAAGAAATTCATTTACCTGAATGAAAGAAATAATAGTTGATTAATGAGAAGTCAGAAAAATTTAACATTTTTTTTAGCTTTTAGCCAACCATGGCATGGCTCCATCCAAGTATCAGTTATAGGTCTTTTAAGTTATACACACTTATCTATTTTTGAAGTTGTAACCATAATTTAAGTGGGTTTTCAAATGATGGTTATAAAGAAAATACATTTGGTTAATACCGGTGTGTTTAGAGCCCAAATCATGGTTTATTCTGGGAGGACCCAAAATATGGGCTCAAAATTTGTTTTCTAAGGCATAAATAATTTTTTTAGGAATCAGTGGCTTCATGATGCCAGCCTGCCTACAGCTAAACATTGATGGTTAAAAAGATGTAATGAAAAGAACTTCAGATTGTCTCCTCTGGTTGTTAATTTCTCTTCCCGCCTTCTGGTTTACAATATCTTAAACCTAAACCCTCAGGTTACATGTCACAGATATAGTAGTCACTTAATTGTGTTGTTAGGATCCGGCCTTGTGTTTACTTTTGAAGAATATCTGCTTAGATTAACTAATTTTCATTAAGGTTCTTTCTCATGTTTAATTTTGTCCTTGTTAAAAGAGGTTTAAGCACCTTATTAGAACAAGTTTTCAAAACCTTGTTTTAAATAATTTTGTAACTTTGAAAGTAATGGTTTCTGTAGTGATGTCTTTCACACGTGAAGATGAAACAATAAAATCATTTATTTACAAGCTATGGCTCTAATTAATTTCTGGCAATTTTCTTACCAAGCTTTAGCTATGGTTCTAGAGTCTTCCAGTTGTTTCACATGAACAAATGATGCTCAGTGGACATGGGATAGCATGGGTGACCCTTGAATGGAATGTTTGCTCTACCAGTCTTTACATCATATTTCCATTACATTGAACGTAGCAAGGACATTCAAACCAGAAGCACATCCTGTCTTTCTCAAGCACAACACTAATTCTATTGTGATTGGGCCAGTTTCTTTGCATAATCCATGCACATGGCTAGGGCTGCTTTGCCTTGTTTATCTAGTCACCCGTGCCTAACATCCATCTTTTGATGCAAAAGTGTCCAGCCTGGAGAACACGGTTTTGGTCCTGAATTTGAATCTTATTATGAAAAGTTTGCTTGTTTTGTTTTTAACAAAAAAGCCCAAATGCTTCCTGAATTTTCCCCAACGTTTTAATGAAATGCTTACTGGCACAATATTTACCTCTGCTAGATGAAAGTGTCGGGGGCGGGGGGGGGCTCTCTAGATATGTATGTCAAATGCTGGTATTTGTAAATTGAGGTCATGTTGATATGACGATTCATTATGTGCGTTGAACAAAATGGATGTGGGGGCATTAACATTGTGAAAATACATGCTTTGCTTTTCCCACTTGATAAGATGACACTTATTTTGTTATTGCTCTTAATTGACAAAATTTTAAGGTGCTTATGAAAACTCATGTATACATGATATCCAGATTATGTGCTAAAATACAGAATATAGTCAATGGTTTGTTTAAAAAAATCAACTAAAGGGACCCTGCCAGCCTCTTCATGTCTTGTGTACAGACTGACCTACATATGTGGGAATTTGTGGATTTTAATCATCACTCCTTTAATACTAAGATTTCAAATCTGGGAATCAGGAAGATTTTGCAACACACCAGAGATTTATAATTGCAAAAGCTTGATGTGCTTTTAAAGAAATATTGTAGAAATTCCTGACATGGAAATATGGCAAATTTGGTCAAGTCAAACAGATAATTAGTATGTTTGGAAGAATTATGGTGCTCAGTCAGTAAGAATGAAGAGAGGTGTTTGGCTTCACATCCTGATCCAGAGATCAACATAAAGTATAAATTGCAGATGGAAGGGCTTTCTTCAGACATGGAAGAAATCCCCTTTTCTTTTCCACCTGCTGATGTACAAGAACATTATTTCTCTGTGAAATGAAGGGGGGAGATGTTGACAGAAGAAGCCTGCAACATGTCACATTTCTCCAGCTTGGAGGAGATCACTGGATTGGGATGATGGTCTTTGGCCGAGTCCCTTTTTTTAAATACTAAAACGCTTAATTTAAATTTTTCTTTCCTTCTGAAAAAAATGTTTAAATGCTAAAGTTGCTTTTTTTTAAAAAAAAAAATCAAAAATAGAATGCAAGAGCTGCAATGAAGAAAATGCAATAAAAGTATCAATTTCTTATTATTTATTCAGGAGATATCACCTAAGCCTCAAAGTCAGAAAAAAAATGAAGCTGATATTAGCAGTTCTGCCAACATTCAGAAATCGGCACTGCTGCCCTCCAACTTGTCTTCAGGAAAATCTCGCAGCAAGAAGTGCAAACAAGAATCTGGAGATTCTGCAGGGTGTCTAAAGCCCCTTAAAACACCATTTTCCCCAGAGTTAATACAAGTGGAGGATTTGACCCTGGTCTCCCAGCTTCCTTCTTCTGGGATAAATAAAACTAGTGAGCACAGACATTTTAAAACATAACCGTAATTGAGAAGTCATCATTGGCGGGTGGTGGTTGTTTTGTTTGAATATGGCTTTGTTGATCATAAGTAGATTTTTTTTTGAAAAAAGAAAGAAAGAAAGAAACAGGACTTCAAGGAAGGTATGTCATGGAGTCTTAACAGTATTGTAATTCAATTCACCAGAAAAAAAAATGCAAGAAATAGAGATTTCTTTTACATTTAACATCTGAGGAACAGAAGAAAATTTAAAGCAATCAACTGCTCTTGTAAAGATTTCCTTATCCTGTTGCCCGGAATCTCTCCTCTCCTACCCTACTTTGTCTCCCTGCCCCTCCTTTCCTTCACCCTACCCTGTCTCTCCCTTCCTACCCCCCTCTCTTCCCCTTCCCTCTCTCCCCTCTTTCTCCTCTCTTCCCCCTCAGTTTTTCTCAAATTATACCAGGTGACTGATTCAAGACTGATTTTTGCCTTTGTTCCTGTTGAACACACAGTATGAAACTGCAGGGAGAATTCTCTGCAGAGACAATGCCTCAAACTGCACAGAACAGAAATGCTTTTCTGATTAAAGAAAGAGGAGAAGGAGAGCTTTTTGTACCCCATCCTATATTCTTCTAGCGTGACGAGCCAACTCTTATTTTCTCCATTACTGGTTAACAGGCAGCAGTATTCTGCTTTTGAGATAAAGATCCAAAAGTTGCCTTCTGAGAAGGAGACCCCAGGAATGTATCCCTTGAAGTCTCGGCCATTTTAGAAGATATCTAAGCATGTTCAGCATCAACAAAAAAAAAAAAGGATATATTTTTTTTTGGTTCCCTTCCTCGTGCCCAACTTCAGCACATCTTCCCTTGTCCAAAGGTCTAATTCTTCCTCATCTATAGATTACAGGATGTTGGAAGGGGGAGTGTTTTTGGTTTTGTAAAATAGCAGCCTAAACCTTTTACTTTGCTCCCCCCCAAAATGGTAAAATGAAGAATCAGAAGAGCTGTTTCCTTGGGCTGCCTTCTAATTGGCACGCACTGAAAGAAAACTCAGGATGTGATCCAAACAGAAGTATGCACAAATCCAATTGATTTGGAGAGAATATTTTCATTGAACAGGGTAGGGAATAAGAAACAGATAAGCTAAACAAAAGTTATCCCCCCAAAATATAAAAAAACATTCATTTGACCATCACATCCCCAGTAGATACAAACCACATAAATCTGTAAGGTTACCTTTCCTGAGGATGATTTGAGTCTATTTTAAATAGGGAAAGGGAATGATTAAAAAAAAAACCCAATTAATACCTAAAACTTGTTTTGCATTGGATGGTTTCCACTGCTTCCTCCCTTTGTTTGTTTTTTTGGTGGTTTTGTTTTGAAGTCCAGATCATTTTTAAATAAGTTTCCGGAACTTTATGGACCATATTTCATTAAGAAAAAAAAACCCACCCTTATTTGGAGCGCTTTGCCAAGTGTGCTTTACGCTTCAAACAATTTGAAATGGGATGCTCTGTATGCCCTTTTAAATAATAAAATATCTTAGCTTCAGCCATTAGGGATTGTAAGGTACAGCTCTGAAGTGATTTTCATGACTGCACATGCATGAAAATTAATTACTTTGCTTTGAGTCTCTCCAAAAGCTTGAGGTCCAATTATATTTAGTAGAAGGGGCAAACCTTTTCCGACTAAAATGAATATGATTTTGTAATGTTTTAATTTTGTTTGGATGAAACTTAACCGCAATCATAATTTCTTCCTCCCCATAGGCAAGTTCCAGAAATGTGTTGTCTGTCTCTATGGGGGAAAGAACTTATGAATGATTGCATAAATAAATTTTACTTATAAATACTGGTGGTCCTCGACTTACAAGCACAATTGAGCCCAAAATCTCTTGTTAAGTGAGACATCTGTTAAGTGAGGTTTGACCCATTTTACGACCTTTCTTACCATAGTTGTTAAGTGAATCAGTGTAAGTCGGTTGTTAAGTGAATCTGACTTCCCCATTGACTTTGCTTATCAAAAGGTTGCAAAAGGGGGTCACGTGACCTTGAGATACAGCAGCGGTCATAAGTCTGAACCAGTTGCCAAACATCTAAATTTTGATCATGTGACTATTGGGATGCTGAAAAGCTCATAACGGGGAAAAAAGTCATAGGTCACTTTTTTTCAGTGGCATTGCAACTTTGAACAGTCACTAAATGAACTGTTGTAAGTCAAGGACTACCTGTACAAGAACATATCAAAAATTTTAGTAGGTATTAAATGTTGCGACAGCTCACAGCTACACTACAAAAGACCAAATACTAAAAAATACCATAGCCAGCAGTCCAAGAATTGATTTTGCTGATAGTGGTTTAGTCATTGCAAAAGATGCCAGCTGCTTAAAAGCTGAAGGTAATCATGCATCAGGTTACAGCTAAATAACTTAATTTGTTAAATATAGCTAAAGCAGATTGGAGGCAATTCATCAAAATAGACACTGAATGCAACAGAGCAGTGAAAAGCAACGATTAAACCATCTAATATCCATAATATAGATTTAAGTAATATAACAGTAATAACCTTATTGACAGCTAACAGCCTAGACTACAGTCTGTCAGTAAAATGATTGATTCACACACACACACACAGCACGTGCGCGCGCGCGCGAGAGAGAGAGCTTATAGAAGCCCTGTATTCAGCATACATTGTTTTTTAAAAATGTTTTGGATCTGGATGTGTATCATTCTGTCCTTGATTTGTTATGCTGGTACAAAAAAGGGGTATGCATTGTTTTTACAGCATCCTTCAGTTTCACTCAAGAGTTAAAAAGAGAAGACATTATATAAGCCAACTAGATTAGATGTCTTCCTACAACTCCTGGCCCTTTGTGTCAACCCAGCTTCAGATAATCTTATTTTCCTGTGATTTATTTTCACAATTTTTTTTTTTTAGCAATTGCTCCTGTGCTGTTGCTCTCAAAAAACCTTCCTAGCCAGCTTTTCTTTCCCGCCACTTTTTTTTTTTTTTTGGTTAAAGACGTGATTTATAGATAGACCAGAACTATTTCAAACAACGGCTTGATGATGATGCCCTTAAAAAAGATGATACCAGGAGACACCTAGTTCAAGCAACAAAATTGCAAAGTCTCTCTCGAGGTGGATCGCAGCCAGTGAAGAACCTTAGATCCTTCAAAAAAATAGCCACGGGAGACGAAGATCACAGCACTTAGAGACAAGATTTCATTGCTTCCTGATTCTCTAGGAAAACATCCTCCGGTCATTCGTGGTAATGGGTTCTCCATCCTTCCCCCAAATGAACCCAGACTCATTACTGGAGGGTAATGTATTTTCTCTGTTAATACAGAACCAGACAGGAACCAAGCATTTAAGATAATACCTTCACAAGAAGTTGCCTGTCTAACAAGAGCTGCCTGGCTAGTAAGCCAGGCCTTTGCCACGCTAGGGGTATAACTTAACAACTGGAACACCTGCTCATCCGTTAATACTGAATTCTTTCTTTTGTATAGTTGCCAATCTTGCTCATGTCTCCCTTGAGAAGCATGGACTAAGTCTTCCTCTTGACTTAAGCAGTAACTTGGACGTTTCAGCTCTCTTCCCTGGGGAGGCCGCCCTCTATAGCAAACAGCCCAGTCAGGAGAAGGAAGAGAACAAGATTATTAGATGCCATCTTTCCAAAACAGGGACCGATGGCAGAATAGCTCCAGTGGCCCCAGGTAAAATATCTTGTCAACCTCTTTTTTACAAGTGTATTAAACATGCGTGTGCATTTTCACGGGCTCTTTGATATCTATCGATGCTTCCGACGCATATCTAGAAAATGCAATGTGTGCTTGCAAACGTCTGTCTATGTCCAGTTCGTTCCCCAGGAAACAGAAACAGTTTGATAGGATATTGGTGTAAAACCCTTGTATAGTGCTCTGTAAGAAAAGGATAGTTATTTTAATTGGCAATTATAATTGAGATTCGGGACATGGTGGGCTGAGTGGCTAAGGCGCTGAGCTTGTCGATCAGAAAGGTTGGCAAGTTTGGTGGTTTGAATCCCTAGTGCCGCTTAACGGAGTGAGCTCCCCATTACTTGTCCCATCTTCTGCCAACCTAGCAGTTCGAGAGCACGTAAAAAACGCAAGTAGAAAAATAGTAGCCACCTTTGGTGGGAAGGTATCAGTGCTCCGTGCATCTTTGCCGTTTAGAGCCAAGGTGGCGCAGTGGTTAAATGCAGCACTGCAGGCTACTGCTAGATCAGCAGGTCAGCGGTTCAAATCTCACCGGCTCAGGGTTG